TACTCATCTTTTGGTGAATCGTTGTCACTTTTCTCCATCCCACGTATGAAGTGAGCGACTTGAGCTGGCGTTTCCAACAGATGCGTGCGACCACCACAGGTCACTGGGAGACGGGCTGGATATATGATTCTGTATCCAACATTTTTAGCTCGGAGGATCTTCTTGACCTCGCTGTAATCCTGCTGCAATCTATGGACTTCAGGCGACACGTCCGGGAAGAACATCACCTGCCTGGATTTATAGAGGGCTTTCCCTTCTTCCTGGCAGCGATTTGGACCAGCGTTTATCTTGGAAGTTTAAACACTTCATGATGACGGGACGTGGAGGCCTCTCCTTGTCGATGAAGCTGACAGAGCTGGGAAGCCGATGGCAGCGCTCCATGATAAGTGGGGTTCGTCGCGGTCCCAGCTCCAGAACCTCGGCCAGGCACCTTTCCATGAATCCACACGGATCCGCTCCCTCTGCTCCCTCGGGAAGACCTTTCAGCCTCAAGTTGGATCTCCGGTTCCTGTTTTCTTGATGGTCCACTTTAGAGGTGACGTCTTTATTTGGCTTTGGAGTTTGTTAACCGTAGTTTTGAGGGTTCCTACTGTGTTTTCATGATGAGAGATTCGTTGCTTGCGTCAGCCTCTTAAAGCTCTCATCTAGATGGGTTCTTATCCCTTGGACCACTGACAGGACATGATCAGTTTTAGCTGTAAAATCAGTCCTCAGACCCACTTTGTCCAACTTTAAATCCGTGATTGCTTTTAGAATTTGGTTGGAGCCCGGTTGTGACTCTTGAAACTCCTGGTCTCTTGATGCCGTGGCGGTCGCTTCATGGTTTGCTTCAATCCCTTTTTCCTCCCTTTGGTGTTTGACGTTGTTCATTTCCACTAAAGTCGTGAGATTTGTAGTTTTCAGATGTTTTCAGCCTCGTTTTTACAGAGATTTTTACAGTTCACAGTGAGGGGACAGGGGGGCGTGGCCTGTCTGTTATTACAGGAAGTGAGACTTTTACTGATGGACCAGAGAGAGACCAGAGAGAGACCAGAGAGAGACCAGAGAGAGGCCAGAGAGAGACCAGAGAGAGACCAGAGAGAGACCAGAGAGAGACCAGAGAGAGACCAGAGAGAGACCAGAGAGAGAGACCAGAGAGATAGACCAGAGAGAGACCAGAGAGAGAGACCAGAGAGAGACCAGAGAGAGACCAGAGAGAGACCAGAGAGAGAGACCAGAGAGAGACCAGAGAGAGACCAGAGAGAGACCAGAGAGAGAGACCAGAGAGAGACCAGAGAGAGAGACCAGAGAGAGACCAGAGAGAGAGACCAGAGAGACGGATCAGAGAGACAGACCAGAGAGACACCAGAGAGAGACCAGAGAGAGACCAGAGAGAGACCAGAGAGAGACCAGAGAGAGAGAGACCACAGAGAGACCAGAGAGAGACCAGTAAGAGAGAGAGACCAGAGAGAGACCAGAGAGAGACCAGAGAGAGAGACCAGAGGAGAGACCAGAGAGAGACCAGAGAAAGACCAGGGAGAGAGACCAGAGAGACACCAGAGAGAGAGACCAGAGAGAGAGAGACCAGAGAGACACCAGAGAGAGAGAACAGAGAGAGACCAGAGAGAGACCAGAGAGAGACCAGAGAGAGAGACCAGAGAGACACCAGAGAGACACCAGAGAGGGACCAGAGAGAGACCAGAGAGAGACCAGAGAGACCAGAGAGAGACCAGAGAGAGAGAGACCAGAGAGAGACCAGTAAGAGAGAGAGACCAGAGAGAGACCAGAGAGAGACCAGAGAAAGACCAGAGGGAGAGACCAGAGAGAGATCAGAGAGAGACAAGAGAGGGACCAGAGAGAGACCAGAGAGAGAGACCAGAGAGACACCAGAGAGACACCAGAGAGGGACCAGAGAGAGACCAGAGAGAGACCAGAGAGACTAGAGAGAGACCAGAGAGAGAGAGACCAGAGAGAGACCAGTAAGAGAGAGAGACCAGAGAGAGACCAGAGAGAGACCAGAGAAAGACCAGAGGGAGAGACCAGAGAGAGATCAGAGAGAGACAGAGGGAGACCAGAGAGAGACCAGAGAGAGAGATCAGAGAGAACAGAGAGAGGCCTATTCTCTATTCTTTACCTCTCTTCTTTCACTGTTGCACTGAGCCAAAGCAATTTTCAAGTCTGTGACTTCCTGTTACTTACGAGGCAATGAAAATGATTCCGATTCTGATTCTGAATGCTTTCAGGTCAGAGTATGTAACACAACAATATGTAACATGTTGGGGCTCGTCTCTTGGGTGTAACATATTGGGGCTCGTCTCTTGGGTGTAACATATTGGGGCTCGTCTCTTGGGTGTAACATATTGGGGCTCGTCTCTTGGGTGTAACATATTGGGGCTCGTCTCTCGGGTGTAACATATTGGGGCTCGTCTCTCGGGTGTAACATATTGGGGCTCGTCTCTTGGGTGTAACATATTGGGGCTCGTCTCTTGGGTGTAACATATTGGGGCTCGTCTCTTGGGTGTAACATATTGGGGCTCGTCTCTTGGGTGTAACATATTGGGGCTCGTCTCTTGGGTGTAACATATTGGGGTTCGTCTCTTGGGTGTAACATATTGGGGTTCGTCTCTTGGGTGTAACATATTGGGGCTCGTCTCTTGGTTGAATCTTAATAGTTTTTGTTCATCTCAGTGTGATACAGTTTTGTGTAAGGTTTAGTCTCTCCTTTTGTCGCTGAGTGTTTAGTGGGTCTAGGGATTATTCAATCTAAGCTTTTTGATTTTTGAGGGGATCCTGGGTGGGCCGTTACCATAGTTACCGAGACAGGAGCGAGAGAGAAGAGAGAGACCAGAGAAATATGACTGTACCGACTTCCGTAATGTTACTTCCTCCTTGGTCTTGTGTGTTTCAGAGCAACACGACAGAGACTTCTTCAGGAACAATAAGGATCAGTCTGTCTGTGTTAGGGACCAGAAAGTAAGTACCATGTGTCTGTGTTAGTGACCAGAAAGTAAGTACCATGTGTCTGTGTTAGGGACCAGAAAGTAAGTACCATGTGTCTGTGTTAGTGACCAGAAAGTAAGTACCATGTGTCTGTGTTAGTGACCAGAAAGTAAGTACCATGTGTCTGTGTTAGTGACCAGAAAGTAAGTACCATGTGTCTGTGTTAGTGACCAGAAAGTAAGTACCATGTGTCTTTGTTTGTGACCAGAAAGTAAGTACCATGTGTCTGTGTTAGTGACCAGAAAGTAAGTACCATGTGTCTGTGTTAGTGACCAGAAAGTAAGTACCATGTGTCTGTGTTAGTGACCAGAAAGTAAGTACCATGTGTCTGTGTTAGTGACCAGAAAGTAAGTACCATGTGTCTGTGTTAGTGACCAGAAAGTAAGTACCATGTGTCTGTGTTAGTGACCAGAAAGTAAGTACCATGTGTCTGTGTTAGTGACCAGAAAGTAAGTACCATGTGTCTGTGTTAGTGACCAGAAAGTAAGTACCATGTGTCTGTGTTAGTGACCAGAAAGTAAGTACCATGTGTCTGTGTTAGTGACCAGAAAGTAAGTACCATGTGTCTGTGTTAGTGACCAGAAAGTAAGTACCATGTGTCTGTGTTAGTGACCAGAAAGTAAGTACCATGTGTCTGTGTTAGTGACCAGAAAGTAAGTACCATGTGTCTGTGTTAGTGACCAGAAAGTAAGTACCATGTGTCTGTGTTAGTGACCAGAAAGTAAGTACCATGTGTCTGTGTTAGTGACCAGAAAGTAAGTACCATGTGTCTGTGTTAGTGACCAGAAAGTAAGTACCATGTGTCTGTGTTTAGTGACTAGAAAGTAAGTACCATGTGTCTGTGTTAGTGACCAGAAAGTAAGTACCATGTGTCTGTGTTAGTGACCAGAAAGTAAGTACCATGTGTCTGTGTTAGTGACCAGAAAGTATGTACCATGTGTCTGTGTTAGTGGCCAGAAAGTAAGTACCATGTGTCTGTGTTAGTGACCAGAAAGTAAGTACCATGTGTGACGTGTTGATGTGTTAGTACCAGAAAGCAAGTACCATGTGTGACGTGTTGATTAGTCTATATTAGTGACCAGAAAGTAAGTACCATGTGTGACGTGTCTGTGTTAGTGACCAGAAAGTAAGTACCATGTGTGACGTGTTGATGTGTCAGTGTTAGTGACCAGAAAGTAAGTACCATGTGTGACGTGTTGATGTGTCTGTGTTAGTGACCAGAAAGTAAGTACCATGTGTGACGTGTTGATGTGTCTGTGTTAGGGACCAGAAAGTCCTGTGGGGTCCTCCACAGGTGTCAGTGTCTGTTCTTAAAGTAGTACTAGAATTTAATATGCTGCTATCCAGAATATTTAACTACAATATGTGTTTGTAATTAGATTTATTTACCACAATGTACTTTGTAATATTCATAAATGCTAACACCTATTAACGGTTTAATTAGCATTTTTATCAATGATTGCATCACATGTAGTCTATGTTTTCAACTTCTGCAGCTTTTTGTTCATAGAAGTAAAATATGTATTTAATTCAAGTAATTCTGATTGTCATTTTTGAATATTACAATATACATTTTGGTAAATAATGATGTCGTTAGCATGTTTTATGATATCAAGTAGAGTTAGCTAACTTGCCCAACACTAATTAGCTTGAATCTCACAAATAAGGCTAAAAGGTTAAAAGAGTTGCACACTATTATGTACAAACGGATGTAAATATGTTTATACCTTGTTCAGATGACAGTGAAACCTCCTACAGATTCAGCCCAGACTGCTGCTGCTGTGAGAGGTCCTTCTCCTACGTCATCGCCGCCATTTTGGCGCCCCCTAGCGTTTCTATGCGGAAGTGAAAAAGTGCGACTTCAAAGGAGTTGTTTTAAACTTAATTCATCTGAACATGTCAAAATGAACACCAGAAATATATATTGTAGTTATATATTCTGGATAGCAGCATATTCAATTCTAGTACTACTTTAAGCTGTGTTCAGACCGGATCATGCTGTGGCGAGTTTCAAAGCAAAGTCAATAGAGACATAGGTACAGAGGAGGTGGGCACAGAGGAGGTGGGCACAGAGGAGGTGGGTACAGAGGAGGTGGGTACAGAGGAGGTGGGTACAGAGGCGGTGGGTACAGAGGAGGTGGGTACAGAGGAGGTGGGTACAGAGGAGGTGGGTACAGAGGAGGTGGGTACAGAGGAGGTGGGTACAGAGGAGGTGGGTACAGAGGAGGTGGGTACAGAGGAGGTGGGTACAGAGGATGCATGTGTGTGTGATGGGATTATGAACATGTCTTCACCTTGGGTTGACCTTCCACTGTGGCTGATACTAAGGTGTCGCTGATGCAGAACTGCAGACCACTTCCTTCCTGTGTTTCTCCCCAACGCAACGTCAGACTGAACTCATCATAGAGAGACCAGAGAGAGACCAGAGAGAGACCAGAGAGAGACCAGAGAGAGACCAGAGAGAGACCAGAGAGAGAGACCAGAGAGAGACCAGAGAGAGACCAGAGAGGGAGACCAGAGAGACCAGAGAGAGACCAGAGAGGGAGACCAGAGAGACCAGAGAGAGACCAGAGAGACCAGAGAGAGACCAGAGAGAGACCAGAGAGAGACCAGAGAGAGACCAGAGAGACCAGAGAGAGACCAGAGAGAGACATGAGAGAGAGACCAGAGAGACCAGAGAGAGACCAGAGAGAGACCAGACAGAGAGACCGGGCGGCACGGTGGCAGAGTGGATAGCACTCTCGCCTCTCAGCAAGAAGGTCCTGGGTTCGAATCCCGGTCGGACCAGGGCCTTTCTGAGTGGAGTTTGCATGTTCTCCCCGTGTCTGCGTAGGTTTCCTCCGGGTACTCCGGTTTCCCCTACCACTAAAAATATGCCCAATAGTTCTAGCATGCGCCTCCTGTACTGGCGACCCTGCTCCCATCTCTTTGTGGAGTGAGAGACAAATGCCCAAAATTAACAATTGTAAACCGCTTTGAGACTCAGATCTGCAGTGAAAAGGCGGTATATAAATAAAGATTACTTACTACTACTACTACTACCAGAGAGAGAGACCAGAGAGAGACCAGAGAGAGACCAGAGGGAGACCATAGAGAGACCAGAGAGAGACCAGAGAGAGACCAGAGAGAGACCAGAGAGAGAGACCAGAGAGAGACCAGAGAGAGACCAGAGAGAGAGACCAGAGAGAGACCAGAGAGAGACCAGAGAGAGACCAGAGAGAGACCGGAGAGAGACCAGAGAGAGACCATAGAGAGACCAGAGAGAGACCAGAGAGCATGGCGCCGTAAAGATGGCGCCGTGGCAAGAGCTCTGGTGTGTGTCGTCTGGTGCACACTGGGGTAGTCTTGCACAGTTTTTCTAATGTGGTTTTACTGCAAATGGCAAATAAATGAATCTGAATCTGAATCTGAATCTGACCAGAGAGACCAGAGAGAGACCAGAGAGAGAGACCAGAGAGAGACCAGAGAGAGACCAGTGAGAGACCAAAGAGGGACCAGTTAGACCAGAGAGAGACCAGAGAGAGACCATAGAGACCAGAGAGAGACCAGAAAGAGCAACCAGAGAGAGACCAGAGAGAGAGACCAGAGAGAGAGACCAGAGAGAGAGACCAGAGAGAGATCAGAGAGAGACCAGAGAGAGAGACCAGAGAGAGACCAGAGAGAGAGACCAGAGAGAGACCAGGGTGACCAGAGTAAGACCAGACTAGAGTAAGACCAGAGAAAGACCAGAGAGAGAGACCAGAGAGAGACCAGGGTGACCAGAGTAAGACCAGACTAGAGTAAGACCAGAGAGACCAGAGTAAGACCAGAGAGACTAGAGTTAGACCAGAGAGACCAGAGTAAGACCAGAGAGACTAGAGTAAGACCAGAGTAAGACCAGAGAGACTAGAGTTAGACCAGAGAGACCAGAGTAAGACCAGAGAGACTAGAGTAAGACCAGAGAGAGACCAGAGACCTGGGAGAGAGAGTTTATTGTTGAGTTTGAGGCAAGGCAAGGCAAGTTTATTTATATAGCACATTTCATACACACGGCAATTCAAAGTGCTGAACAAAACAAGAAAGCATTAAAATCATAAATAATCACAGAACAAATATAAAATCCCTCAGTTGTATGCACAGCTAAACAGAACTGTCTTTAACCTGGTTTTAAACATTGTCAGAGAGGAGGCCTGTCTCACATCTTCAGGAAGACTGTTCCAGATTTTAGCAGCATGAATCTGAAAAGCAGCCTCTCCATGTTTAGTTGTGACTCTGGACACTAACAGGAGTCCAGTCCCTGTGCTCCTCAGAGTCCCAGCAGGAGTCCAGTCCCTGTGCTCCTCAGAGTCCCAGCAGGAGTCCAGTCCCTGTGCTCCTCAGAGCCCAGCAGGAGTCCAGTCCCTGTGCTCTCAGAGTCCCAGCAGGAGTCCAGTCCCTGTGCTCCTCAGAGTCCAGCAGGAGTCCAGTCCCTGTGCTCCTCAGAGTCCCAGCAGGAGTCCAGTCCCTGTGCTCCTCAGTCCCAGCAGGAGTCCAGTCCCTGTGCTCCTCAGAGTCCCAGCAGGAGCCAGTCCCTGTGCTCCTCAGAGTCCGGGCTGGTTCATATGGGACTAACATGTCACTAATATATTTTGGTGCGAGGCCATGGAGAGACTTGTAACAAGCAAAGCTGTTTTAAAGTCTATTCTCTGAGCCACAGGAAGCCAGTGCAGAGACCTGAGGACTGGACTAATGTGGTCGTACTTCCTGGTTCTAGTCAGGACTAATGTGGTCGTACTTCCTGGTTCTAGTCAGGACTAATGTGGTCGTACTTCCTGGTTCTAGTCAGGACTAATGTGGTCGTACTTCCTGGTTCTAGTCAGGACTAATATGGTCGTACTTCCTGGTTCTAGTCAGGACTAATGTGGTCGTACTTCCTGGTTCTAGTCAGGACTAATGTGGTCGTACTTCCTGGTTCTAGTCAGGACTAATGTGGTCGTACTTCCTGGTTCTAGTCAGGACTAATGTGGTCGTACTTCCTGGTTCTAGTCAGGACTAATGTGGTCATACTTCCTGGTTCTAGTCAGGACTAATGTGGTCGTACTTCCTGGTTCTAGTCAGGACTAATATGGTCGTACTTCCTGGTTCTAGTCAGGACTGGAGCTGCTGCATTTTGAATGCACTGCAGCTGTTTTACAGCCTGTTTGGACAGACCTGTGAGCAGGCCATTGCAGTAGTCTAACCTACTGGAGACAAATGCATGGATAAGAATCTCCAAGTCTGCTTTAGACACTATGTTTTTGATCCTGGCAATGTTTTTTAGATGGTAAAAAGCTGCTGATGTTACTGATTTGATGTGGCTATTAAAATTTAAGTCTGAGTCCAGTATTACCCCTAGATTTCTGACCTTGTTTGAAGGTTTTAGGGAGAGAGACTGTAGATGACAGATGACGCTCTCTCTTTGTTTCTGGGGACCAAAGACAATCATTTCAGTTTTGTCTGCGTTTAGCTGAAGGAAGTTGTTTTGCATCCACTCACTGATCTGTTGGATACAGTGAAGGAGTGAGTCCACTGGTCCATGTTCTCCTGCAGTCAGTGAGACATAGATCTGAGTGTCGTCTGCATAGTTATGATAGGACACTTTGTTTCTGCGTATTAACTGACCTAACGGCAGCATGTAGAGATTGAACAGAAGAGGTCCCAGGATCGACCCCTGTGGTACTCCACAGGTCAGGGCCATATTATCTGAGACACAGTTTCCAATCTCCCCAACCCCAGCACAGGCCTGTCTGCTGTAGGCTGGGGTGAGGATGGGGGCTTCAGAGGCGCTGTAGATGAAGAAGGCGTGGCTGCTTTGGAGCAGGCTGGGGATGAGGATGGTGGTGGTGGTCGTGCTGCTGGTGCTGCTACTGGTGATGATGCAGCTGCTACTGGTGATGATGCAGCTGCTGCTGGTGATGATGCAGCTGCTGCTGGTGATGATGCAGCTGCTACTGGTGATGATACAGCTGCTGCTGGTGATGATACAGCTGCTTCTGATGACAGTGGTGGTGGTGAGATCCTTCGAGGTGGTGGAGGTGCAGAGACTTTTAGGCCCCGTCCCAATACTCGCACTTCCACCCTCGCGCCCCTCATTTGCGCGTTCCCGATAAAGGGTGCGAGTGCGTAGGGTGTCCCAATTCTCAAGGGAGGTCTTTGGCCCCGCCCCCTTTGCGCCCCTGATCCACTCTTCGTCGTAGCCTGCATCTATGCGCACTCTGGCGAAGGATATTGCCCATAATTCTTTGCGGTACACACCAAAACGTCGGGAAAATGCAAATTTTGAAATATATATGCAGTATGTGTGTAAATAAGTTTTGCTATGTTACTTGGAAAGAAGCATAAACGTCTGATGAAGAATTACGGACATTGTTTTTTAACAATTTAATAAATTTTAAAGCAAGCGTTTATATAACATTCAATTTAAACTTTACACTTAGTACAATAATCTTAGAATGTATAAAAACTGACCAGATAGTTAGTTACCCACATTTAACTTAAAATTATACAGCTATCTCTAATTAAAAACAACTAATATACATGTATTTTAACGTGTGTGAAGAAATTCAATTTGTTTCCCAAAGGGTCAGACAAAATGACCTTTAATGTTTATAAAGTTTAGGTCTGAAAATGACCATCTCTTGATGAGTCGATGACGTAACCTGCTCTCAGTGCACTGTCCCAATTCTGCCTTTTTTGCACACTTGTGACCTGCGCACTCCAACCCTGGTGTGCACTTCAAACAAATGCACACTTCGTAGAAGTGTGTAGGGGGCAGTGTGGGTATTGGGACTGGGCCACAGTTTTCCAATCTCCACAAAGTACTTCCTGTCTTGGTTTAGGGCGGTCGCTGGTACCGCCCTAAACCAACTTAGGGCGGTACCAGCGACGCCAACCCAGTTCTCTAGTCTCTGTAAGAGGATCTCATGGTCGATGGTGTCAAAGGCAGCACTTAGATCTAACAAGATTAAGATTGAGACTTTGCCTGCGTCAGTGTTCAGCCGGATATCGTTTGTAACCTTAACGAGAGCAGTCTCAGTGCTGTGGTGGGGTCTAAAGCCGGACTGAAACATATCAAATGAGTTGTTGATTATAAGAAATCTAGTAAGCTGTAGGTAGACAACTTTCTCAAGGACTTTCCCCATAAATGGCAGATTTGAGATGGGACGATAGTTGTTAAGTACCGTAGCATCCAGGCTGCTCTTTTTTAGCAGGGGCCTGATGACTGCAGTTTTCAGGGCCTTTGGGAATATTCCAGAATGAAGGGACATGTTTACTATCTGTGTGAGTGAAGGTAACAGACTGCTCAGAACAGACTTTAGAAATCTAGTGGGTAGTACATCCAGGCTGCATGTGGAGGAGCTCAGACTGGAGATTATCTCTTGGACAGTTTGATCATTTACAGGTGCAAAGTGAGTTAGCTCAGAGAGCCTTTCTGGCTGTTGGATGGTTATCTGTGGATTGGAGACAATGGCGTTTTTGATGCCTTGAACCTTGTCATTGAAAAAATTAGCAAACTCATTGCATTTACGTTTGGAAGTAAGCTCTAATGGCATTTGAACAGGGGGATTTGTTAATCTATTAACTGTTGAGAACAGAACACGCAGATTGTTGCTGCAGCCTTCAATCATTTCAGAAAAATACCTTTCTCTCGTACTACGTAGCACCCGGTTAAACTCGCACAACTTATCTTTGAAGATCTCGTAATCAACCTGGAGGTTGGACTTGCGCCACTTCCGCTCGGCCCTCCGGCACTTTCTCTTTTGTGCCCTGACCGAGTCTGCTATAGCCCACGGCGCCTTCTGCTTATTTTTCACAATTTTAACCTTCACAGGTGCAACGGTCTCCAGAACATTCAAAACACTAGAGGTGACAGAGTTAAACAGTTCATCTACAGTAGAATACGATGCATTCTCAAAGTTTATCATTCCCATAAATAGTTCACTCGTATTTTCATTTATGTGTCTTCTTCGTACAGTTGCAGAGTCCACTGGTGGTTTGTTAGTGAAACACATGTCAAAAAAAACACAGAAATGATCCGAAAGAGCAACATCGACCACGTTTACATTTGAAATAATCACCCCCTTTGTAACTAACAGATCTAGAGTGTGCCCTCTGCTGTGGGTGGGGCCACTTACGTGCTGAGTGAGATCAAAGGATTCAAGTACAGAACTCAGCTCATTTGCATTTCTGTCATCAACATTATCCACATGAATATTAAAATCACCTGTAATAACCAAAGTATCAAAATCTGTGCATACAACTGAAAGCAACTCTGTAAAGTTATCAATAAAACTGTGACATGACTGCGGTGGCTTGTATAGGACAATGAAGAGTATTGGAGGAGATTGTTTTTGTTGTATTTTAAAAGACACATATTCAAATGACAAAAACTTCCCAAGAGACATTCTATGGGAGACAAAGTGGTCTCTAAAAATGGCAGCTAAGCCTCCTCCTTTTTTGTTTTCCCGTATTTCAGATTCAAATTTGAAATTTGGTGGTGATGCTTCTATTAAAACTGCATTTCCTGAATTTTGGTCAAGCCAAGTTTCAGCCATGAACATAAGATCAAGATTATAAGAACAAATACAATTATTGATTAAAAAAGACTTGTTACAAAGAGATCTGACATTAAGCGTAGCAAGTTTCAAAGTTTCAGTATCAGCGGTTGTGGTCGGCTGATTCTTATACGGAACAAGAATTAGATTTTCCAGATTAGACTGATTAACTCCAGATGTTTTTTCTGTTATGTATTCTTTGTGTTATCACTAAGGGAATGGCACAGGTGGCTTCATGACAGGGCCCCAGCCGGGTCTCTCCTCTAACTAGACTGCCAGTGGCTGCGAAGCAGAGACCCTGTGCATCCTAGTGTTTAGAGAAAAGAGGGGAAGGGGAAGGCGGGGGAGGAGGATGGAGAGGTGGGTGGCTTTTGGGTGTTGAACGAGGGGGGCAGGGAGGTGGAGGGGTTTTTGGTGATGGGTTAGGGCCGGGGTGGGCTGAGGCAGAGGTTTTGGATGTTGAACGAGGGGGAAGTGGGGGTGGAATGGTCATGAGGTTAGGGGAGGGACTGGCTGAGGTGGTTTTTGTAGGTGAATTGGAAACCCTAGGTGGTTTTGGAGGTACATATGGGGAGTGGTTTAGAATGTTGGACAGGTCTCTAGATCTAGCTAATATGGGTGTGAGAGGAATAGTCTTCATCGCCGATTTTATTAGCCCTGCAGAGTGTTCAGGTAGGTCTAACAGTGAAGGCGGGGATGAAAAACAAAGGGAGGTGTCCCCATTCTCTCTTGATGGAGTGGACGTGGCAGGGGGGACCCAAGACAGGTCCATGGGAGGTGGCGAGGGAGTCTTTGATGGAGGGGCAGGTGGTTGAGGAAACCCCAGCACAGGCCTGTCTGCTGTAGGCTGGGGTGAGGATGGGGGCTTCAGAGGCGCTGTAGATGAAGAAGGCGTGGCTGCTTTGGAGCAGGCTGAGGATGAGGATGTTGGTGGTGGTGGTCGTGCAGCTGGTGCTGCTACTGGTGATGATGCAGCTGCTGCTGGTGATGATGCAGCTGCTTCTGATGACAGTGGTGGTGTTGAGATCCTTCGAGGTGGTGGAGGTGTTGAGATCCTTCGAGGTGGTGGAGGTGTTGAGATCCTTTGAGGTGGTGGTGGTGTTGAGATCCTTCGAGGTGGTGGAGGTGTTGAGATCCTTTGAGGTGGTGGTGGTGTTGAGATCCTTCGAGGTGGTGGAGGTGTTGAGATCCTTTGAGGCGGTGATGGTGTTGAGATCCTTCGAGGTGGTGGAGGTGCAGAGACTTTTGGAGTTCCTTTCGATGGCTGCACGCGCTGCGCAGGCTGAGGTCTCAGGGCAAAAGAAAGGTTATCCATCAACACTTTTACTCCGTAAGTGTTCAGATGTGGCCTTTTCCCTTCAAAAAGCTCATGCCTATTCCAGAACAGATTAAAATTCTCAATGAAGGCAAGTCCTCTGCGTGAACATTCGTTGAGTAGGAAAGTATTTAGCTGATACAGACGACTGAATTTCATTTGCTTACCGTCCACATTTGGTAGTGGGCCACTGATAACGATTTTTACGTCCATTTTAGCAAGGTTGTCCAATAAGAGAGAGTAATCCCGTTTCAACTTTTCACTTGTGTTGTCATAGACGTCTACTGCCCCCACGTGGATCAACAATCTTTTTACCCCGCCGGTCTCAGACAGAAGCCTCGGAGCCAACCGCCTTATCTCATCCACTTTGGCAGAGTGTACTGAGTGAACCTTGAGATGACGCCTGTTTACATGTCTTATCGCAGAATCCCCGATAAAGAGCGACTCAGCTGCATTTGACCTTGACTGAGACTGAGACTGGGACTGAGAGGCTACTGCTGATTCATCTTCCAAAAGTGGTGAAAAGCGGTTTCTTGTAATTAAAGATTTTTGCTGTGGCATTATGACACTCTTGTTATCATTAGCTTTGCCTTGTTTGGGCTTGGCACCATATGTGTTCCAACAATTGTCTCTGTTGATTTTGGGAAATGAAATAGCGTCATCATAACTTACGTTCTGTTCATTTGGTCCATTTCCTTTCACTGGTATTGTTGTGTTCAGCCCCAATTCTGATTCAAGCACAAACATTCGGTCTTGAAGAAGTTTTAGCTCCTGTTTGAGTGAAAAACAGCCGTCGCAAAGTTTTGTTCTTTTTTTCCGTCCTCCCGACATGCTGTAAGTTAGGTACATTCCACAAGTTTTGTGTTGAAGTATGCAAAAAGGAGTAATCTGTGTTTTGTGGAATAAAAATGTAAGCAAAAATGATTAAAGGAGATAAAAAAAAGCAGCAAGCGAGGAGCAGCAAGAGAATGCGACTGCTCTGTCCAGGAAAAGCAGGACAGAGCAGGAAAACACACCCCCCTACATGAATAACTACATGTTATTCATAATAAAAATATCATATCCTTCCAATTAAATGGGAACAAAATCAACCATTTAAACCCGCAGATCAGACACAATATTAACCAATACACACAATCAGGCAGGCAACAAATTAAAAGTGACAAAAATATATTTAATTTCTGGGTAGTTTTTAATGTTTTGTCTCTTTAATTCTCATGTTCCTTCACCTGGAGGTTTATGTTATGTTACTTTTTATTTTTTTTACTGTATTATGTATGTAATTGAAATGTGACCTGAAAGGTAATAGTTGTTAGACCTTGGCATAAGTTTTGATTTTCTGATCTTTTGTTGGTGAATCCACAGCTTGACTCCAAGATGACTGCTGTTATGATTTAGGGATTTAAAAAAATAAATGTAACTGAATTGAATGTCACTTTGCATGTAATGAGTCTTTATCATAAATTCTTGGTTTCACATTCACTTTTCTGATTTTTGCCTGTACATTTCACGGGACAAAGATCTTACCATGAGTGAAGTTCAGAGGCAGAGACACATTGGTCGTGTTGGTTTGCACTAAAACGTTTGACTGAGCGGTCAGAACGGCGAGCTGTTCGAACCCAAGACAAGTGCCCCAAACTGGGAAATAATCTCCTTTGTTGTTGGCCTGAAAGACAAAACTAACTGATTGATTGAAACGACAAAAAGTAATGACGCTGGTTCTTACTCACATGATGCAGGGTTAGATTGGTAAAGAACAGAATAAGGACAGGGGCTGCACAGAAATCTATTTGTTAATATAGGGAGTGCAAAAACACAATACTATTGCACCCCCTACCACCAGGGAGCTGCATCACGTCCTTGTTCTACAGCCTCAGTCCTGGATCTACGGTCGGCACTAGATCAAGTACGGAATGGGGACGAAAGCGGAAGTAAATATAACTAACTACCGATACTAATAGATCTATGCCTAAACTTAAGAACAACCCCAACCCACCCTCAACCCTAACCTTAACCATCTTACTCAGACCACCCTCAACCCTAACCTTAACCATCTTACTCAGACCACCTTAACCCTAACCTTAACCATCTTACTCAGACCACCTTAACCCTAACCTTAACCATCTTACTCAGACCACCTTAACCCTAACCTTAACCATCTTACTCAGACCACCTTAACCCTAACCTTAACCATCTTACTCAGACCACCTTAACCCTAACCTTAACCATCTTACTCAGACCACCTTAACCCTAACCTTAACCATCTTACTCAGACCACCTTAACCCTAACCTTAACCATCTTACTCAGACCACCTTAACCCTAACCTTAACCATCTTACTCAGACCACCTTAACCCTTTAAGCGCCAAAGTCGCAATATTGCGACAAGCAACATTGCTCACTTAAACAGGCTGTATGTAAAAATGTGGTGCAGAATCTTGTTAATACTTTTCACCAGGGGTTAGTGGACATGTGTGCCTGTAATATGAGCAACATTTGTGGGTGTGGTTATATTGAAAGTTTTTGAGTAAATTGAGTTCGTAAAACACCTGCGGCGCAGCAGCGCGGAGGCGAAGCAGCAGCGGTAGAGCTGAGAGGAGCGAGAGCAGAGCAGAGGGAGAGAGTGTTTTTTATTTTACTCACAAGGTCTTCAGTACCAGAGAAGTACTTGGTCTGGTACTGGCTCACTCAGAATCAGAGGAGGAAGACACGCAGGTGTCCAGTGAAGCAGACACGGACATTATTGGTGACGGGGAGACCGCGCTCCATAGTCCACAATCAGCCCCTGTACAGCGGCTGCTTGTCCTCCGTGTGGCCGCGGTGGAAGCATTCTGTGAACGCCAAGCAGGGACCGGGGGTCGAGGGGACAGGGGGATCATAACACCGGGCATGTGGGAGAAAGTAGCGGGGGTAGACATCCACGGGGAGACGCGGGAGAAGTCGCGGGAGAGCCGCGGGAAAAAAACACATCGCTAATCGCGTTCACTGCCTTTACCAGCAGCGATGATGAGGATGAAAGCAGTTCTTGAGAGAAAATAATCCACAAAAGTGGATCAGAAGTGTTGAAGAGCCTGTTGTATGTTGTTGAGACGATCTGACAAGTTCTGAGCCCATTCATTTCATCTCTCTGTTTCTAAACGGTAAATCCTGGAGCCTCATTTCCACTGAGAAAAATAGTAAGCCCACTACTTCTCTGAAAGGGAAATATTGAAACCAATCTCAAGATTTCATGACTGTAAACTATAAAGAGAGCTGTCTTGATCACTGAAGGTCTTTGAAAATAATACAATTCCATATGGCCGCGAACCAGTGCTAAAACATTATCTATAATCTGGATCAGGGAATTTATTTCTATCCCAAATTCATTTCATACTAAAGATATTTCACATTGACTGTTTATAGTATTCCCTGATCTCAAATAACTCCCAAGCTACAGCTTTTTGAAGTCTTTATACAATAATTAACATTTTCCAAAATGGCCGCCACCTTGATGACGTCACAATATGCAAATTAGATGACGAATCAACTTCCATCCCAAAGTTTGGTTCAAACTGAAGATATTTCTAATTTACAGTATGCCTTTATCTCAAACCATTTTAAAGTTATAGCCTTTTGAAATCTTGAAATCAAAATTGTATATTTTCTTGAAAAAACTCTGGCGCCTAAAGGGTTAACCCTAACCTTAACCATCTTACTCAGACCACCTTAACCCTAACCTTAACCATCTTACTCAGACCCACCTTAACCCTAACCTTAACCATCTTACTCAGACCACCTTAACCCTAACCTTAACCATCTTACTCAGACCACCTTAACCCTAACCTTAACCATCTTACTCAGACCACCTTAACCCTAACCTTAACCATCTTACTCAGACCACCTTAACCCTAACCTTAACCATCTTACTCAGACCACCTTAACCCTAACCTTAACCATCTTACTCAGACCACCTTAACCCTAACCTTAACCATCTTACTCAGACCACCTTAACCATCTTACTCAGACCACCTTAACCCTAACCTTAACCATCTTACTCAGACCACCTTAACCCTAACCTTAACCATCTTACTCAGACCACCTTAACCCTAACCTAACCATCTTACTCAGACCACCTTAAACCTAACCTTAACCATCTTACTCAGACCCACCTTAACCCTAACCTTAACCATCTTACTCAGACCACCTTAACCCTAACCTTAACCCTCTTACTCAGACCACCTTAACACTAACCTTAACCATCTTACTCAGACCACCTTAACCCTAACCTTAACCATCTTACTCAGACCACCTTAACCATCTTACTCAGACCACCTTAACCCTAACCTTAACCATCTTACTCAGACCACCTTAACCCTAACCTTAACCATCTTACTCAGACCACCTTAACCCTAACCTTAACCATCTTACTCAGACCACCTTAACCCTAACCTTAACCATCTTACTCAGACCCACCTTAACCCTAACCTTAACCATCTTACTCAGACCACCTTAACCCTAACCTTAACCCTCTTACTCAGACCACCTTAACCCTAACCTTAACCATCTTACTCAGACCACCTTAACCCTAACCTTAACCATCTTACTCAGACCCACCTTAACCCTAACCTTAACCATCTTACTCAGACCACCTTAACCCTAACCTTAACTATCTTACTCAGACCACCTTAACCCTAACCTTAACCATCTTACTCAGACCACCTTAACCCTAACCTTAACCATCTTACTCAGACCACCTTAACCCTAACCTTAACCATCTTACTCAGACCACCTTAACCCTAACCTTAACCATCTTACTCAGACCACCTTAACCCTAACCTTAACCATCTTACTCAGACCACCTTAACCCTAACCTTAACCATCTTACTCAGACCACCTTAACCCTAACCTTAACCATCTTACTCAGACCACCTTAACCCTAACCTTAACCATCTTACTCAGACCACCTTAACCCTAACCTTAACCATCTTACTCAGACCACCTTAACCCTAACCTTAACCATCTTACTCAGACCACCTTAACCCTAACCTTAACCATCTTACTCAGACCACCTTAACACTAACCTTAACCATCTTACTCAGACCCACCTTAACCCTAACCTTAACCATCTTACTCAGACCACCTTAACCCTAACCTTAACCATCTTACTCAGACCACCTTAACCCTAACCTTAACCATCTTACTCAGACCACCTTAACCCTAACCTTAACCATCTTACTCAGACCACCTTAAACTTAACCAGTCACCACTTAAGGACAAATTAGTCTAAAACTACTTCCAAAGTGGGATTGTTACTTCCTCTTCCGTCCCGATTTCGTATGATCTAGTGTCGACGGTAATGTTGGCCTCCCTGTTGTTTCTCACTTTTTTCCCACTGGGTTTTTAGAGTCTTTCTTTGCAGATGCAGGAGGGTCAAAGGACAGTAGTGATGATCCAGGAGTAGGGATGTAAATCGGTGACCGTTTAACCGGTGGTTGACCGTCACAGCGTTAACCGGTCAAAGCTGTCGGTTAAAAAAAGAGAAAAAGGGGAGAGGGGAGGTCTCTTAATAACGCTATTTTAAGCCCTATTTGCACGGTGTGACGAGCGGGTCTCTATCTAGCTGTGTGCGCCAATGTATTATAAACTCCGGGACGACTCTCACGCCGCACGAGCCACATATGCACACACGCACGCGCGCGCACACACACACACACACACACACACACACACACACACACACACACACACACACACACACACACACACACACACACACACACACACTTTCCCCCTCTCCATACGTAACATCCACACGCATCATCTCTCCCCTCTGTTACCGTCCAAGTTGCACACTGGCGCAGGTCAGAACTACATTGGAGCTTACATTTACACACACACACATACACACACACACACACACACACACCTACACACACACACACACACACACACACATATACATACACACACATACACACACACACACACACACACACACACACACACACACACACACACACACACACACACACACACACACACACACACACACACACACATATACATACACACACATACACACACACACCGGTCTGTCGCGCTCCTCTGTGTCACGGAGCCCAAAGGATTCGCGCAAATACGCGGCTCCAGTCAAACCACATGGAACATGTTTGTGTTTATGGTCCTCGGGATCAGCTCCACACACATTAGAGTTTCACTTTTCAGCCCGAGCCCGAGCAGGCCCGAGGCCCGACCTGAGTTGGGGCCGGGCTCGGGCCTCATTTGGCGCTCAGCTGTCGGGTTTGTTCCGGGCTCGGGCTTATTTTTTTAAATATATGTTTCTTTTTTATTATTATTATAATTATTTTTAAATGATTTTTATACATAATGATATACATATATATATATATATATTAATAACAATGTCCGTTGATTGACAACAAGTTATTAAAAAAAGTGAATATATTAATGACACCGTAACCAGCGTGTCCTACAGCAGCAGCGAGCCGTGAACGCATCATCCCCGTGTCTCCTGCTGCTGTGGTCAACAGCGAACAGGAACAATAGTAGAAATGGATCGAGTGGAGACAAAACAAATTCAAAAGTGGAGACTAAACTTGCAATTGGATGGTGAGTGCGTACAACGGGAAATCTGATGTGTCGGGCTCGGGCCTGTTATACAGCGTTCATTGGTCGGGCTTATATGGGCTCTGATCCAGTAGAACGCAGAGCTGCACTTATGAAAAGTACGCGGCTCGAAATGGCTGTTATTTCAAAGAACGTGGACTATTTTAAACTACGCGGTTAACCCGTTTCAACCGGTTAATGAGGCTCGGTGGTCGGTCATGAAAATTCATCGTTTTTTACATCCCTAATCCAGGACACTCAACATTCAATGACATTTATTCACATTAATGGACGTTGATCATCTGCCCCATATGGACCAATGGCTCTATGTGTCTTTAGATTTCTTGTGTTTGAACTGTTTGATTTTCTGATCTGTTTTGGTGAATCAGCAGTTTTGTAAAGTCCTAAGAGAAAATTACAGTTGTAAGTTACGACTTTGCAAAAATACATTGATTTTAGAGTTGGGACGTCTCAGCTCAGACTGCTGCCCCCATAACTTGGTAAAGAATAAAGTGGAAGAAGAGGGATGAATGATTTTCCTATGGTTCTTGTGAAGTCCTCCCTCCACTCATCACACATTAATGAATTATTTTGTCAATTACTTTACATTATACACAATCTTCAGAGGAGCCAAACTGTCTCCATGCAGAAATAGGAAAACAGTAGAAAACACTGTACAGGCCTCAACCCTAACCTCAATGGCGAGATTGTAGAATATCTTGGCAGCTCTTTCGTATCCAGAGTCAAAGATGTAGGCGGATCCTCCGGGCAGAAAGAACCTGTTCAGAAGGACAGGTCAGACTGAAGACAGAAAACACATTATTATAAATCTAACATTTACCCATTGATTGCGTGGAATATTGTTTTGTACTCCTCTTCAGTCTGGTCAATCCTGAAAGAAGAAACATGATGCGTTATTGTCAATAACTTCAGTAGAAAAGAGTAAGCCTGTAACGCCCTATCCTACCACTAGAGAGAGTAGTAAACTAATTTATGGGCAGTACTAAAGCACATTGGCTGAGTGGATAGCACTCTCGCCTCTCAGCAAGAAGGTCCTGGGTTCGAATCCCGGTTGGACCAGGGCTTTTCTGAGTGGAGTTTGCATGTTCTCCCCGTGTCTGCGTAGGTTTTCTTCGGGTACTCCGGTTTCCCCTACCACTGGAAACATGCATAATAGATCTGGCATGCGCCTCCTGTACTGGCCCCTCCCATCTCTGTGTGGACTGAGACACTAATGCCCAAAAATAACAATTGTAAACCGCTTTGTAGTAGTAGTAGTAGTAATCTTTATTTATATACCGCCTTTTCACTGCACATCGGAGTCTCAAAGCGGTTTACAATTGTGATTTTTTGGGCATTTGTCTCTCACTCCACACAGAGATGGGAGCGGGGCCAGTACAGGAGGCGCATGCCAGAACTATTGGACATATTTTTAGTGGTAGGGGAAACCGGAGTACCCGGAGGAAACCTACGCAGACACAGGGAGAACATGCAAACTCCACTCAGAAAGGCCCTGGTCCAACCGGGATTTGAACCCAGGACCTTCTTGCTGAGAGGCAAGAGTGCTATCCACTCAGCCACCGTGCCGCCCAAGCTTTGAGACTCTGATTTGCAGTGAAAAGGCGGTATATAAATAAAGATCACTACAAAACTGCTCTGAGTGTGCTGTAGTGGGACTTATACTTTAAATGTTAGTCATGCAATAGGGGATAATTTTCTTGCATATTTTGGATAGATGTTCAACTGAAAAACAGATATACAACACATGAACCTAAAGAATTGTCGTCTTAATCAATCATGTCTGTCTGAGTTCTCCACATTATGGGAAAGGCTCTGAACAACAAAGACAATGAGACACTTTATGCACATTGCCTAAGGACAGAAATACATCTGCAATGATGTAACCACTGCTGGCATTTACTGCGGTCTCCCATCCCTGTACTGACCAGACACGACTCTGCTTAGCAACAACCATAAGACAAGAGCAGAAAGATTCAAACGACCAGAAAGAGAAGAGAAAAAACATAAAACTTGAAAAAACGTTGAATGAGAAAACAGACATTCCACATTAAATAAATTCAACGTTGTTTTTCTATTTTAAGTTTAGTTCCAATCACAAATCACATAATATGAAAATGAAATTGTAGGTTAGAATAATGCAATTTCTTTATAAATCATGTCCCACCATTTCACTGTTTGAAAAGTCCATTTCCTGGTGGTGGCCTGTATTTTTCTAACTGTTGTTGATATTTATGCATCATTAAATGTTCCTGCACAGGTGAAACTCTGAATACTAGAATAGCCTGTATACTTTTGTTATTCAACTTACAATGTGAAACTAACAGATGTCAGACTCATTACAAACAGAGTGAGATATTTCCAGCCTCACAGCTTGTAAAAAACCCCAAACAAAACATTGGAAAAGCTAAATATTTTGAGAAAGGACTGTTAGCTATAATCAACATTTCACCAAACAGAGCACATTTTTGAGGACATCATAGTTGAGGAATGTATGTTTTAAAACAAAATAAGTGTTGAAAGCAAAGCAAAAGCATCTCAAGAAGCAGGTTTTAGACACAACTAAACAGGACAAAGCACTTTAGACCAGGAAACAACTCATTAAGGATAAGAACATAATTTTCAAGGACGTCCTGGCAACACAAACTAAAAGGCCTTTTTTTTTCTAAACTCTGATCCAACTCTTAGAACAGATGATTGTTATCCAACGTTGCAAAGTCACTATCACGATATAAACACCAGGATCACAGAGAGAACCAAGATTGTTTAACTCCCAAAATGATGAGTGTGTTACTGAGCTAGAGGAGTTTAGAAGTCTAAGTAAATAAGAGCCAGAGCGAGATGGAGCAAAACTTCACTATGAGCACTTCCCTATAGGCTTCATTAGAGTTTGTGGTTTAGCGTTGTATATACGGTCGACGACTGATATGGAGGAAGCTGACCGAGAATGCATTCATAAATAATTAAGTGCAAGTGCTGGAGATGTCTGAGATGAGCAGGATTACCAAAGCAGTTCTTCAAAGTTTTAAGCTTAAGAATGTGCCTGTGAAGACGTGTTGCTGAATTGAAGACCGTCAGTGACCCTCGGTGTGAACACGTCCTGGAGCCGACACTGGATCCATGGATGAAGAAAACTTACATTATAGGAACCACTCTTGCTCCAGCGGACTCCAGGGTTTTCACGTATGACGCAGCAATGTAACTTCTTTCGTTATTTTTTGGGCGAAGAACATCTTGAGCCATGAGACCTGCATTTAAAAAATATATAAATAGACAATACGACCACAGACAGATATTTATGACCATGTGATCAACCTGGAGCTATACTGTAAATTAAGTATCTTTAATTTTGTCCAATCAGGTGGCTTTGAGGTTGAACGTGGGCGGGGCTACTGTCACTTTCTCTTGTTAACGTTCTCTCTATTTTCTCACTATGAAAGAAAAAAATTTTACTTACAACTTTGCAACTCTGCAGGAGGATCAGTGAGGGGCTGAACCAGAAATGGATTAAGGGGTAGAAAATGGATGGATAATACATCATACTTATGTGGCGCTTTTTGGGACACTCAAAGATGCTTTACAGAAAAAAAATTATATATAAACAGTTAAGTGTAGGCAGTTTTGAACAGGTGGGTTTTGAGCAGTGATTTGAAGTTCTGAAGTGAGTCTGAGTTCCTAATGTGTGGTGGGACTGAGCCTTTGCAGCTGCAGCAAAGGCTCCGTCTCCCAAGGTTCGGCACTTTGTTCTGATGGGAGTGAGGAGGTTGGAGTCAGCGGATCTGAGTCGGAGGAGGTCAGATAGGGAAGATGGGGCAGGTTATGGAGGGACTTGGATGCTGTAAGGAACAAGGAGACAGTGGAGTGGTTTGAGGACGGGGGTGATGTGGTCCCTGGAGCGGGTGTGGGTGAGCAGGTGGATGGCAGAGTTCTGGTTGTATCCGGTATTTGGAGCTGAGTGGAAGGGAGACCGTAGAGGAGGCTGTTGCAGTGATTGAAGGTGATGAAGATGAAGGTGTGGATGAGGATTTCTGCAGTGGATTGTGAGAGGGAGCCCGGAGACGGACGATGTTGCAAAGGTGGAAAAAGGATGTTTTGGTGATATAGTTTATGTGTGGTTTGAATGAAAGGGTGAAGTTCAGTATAACACAGAGGGGGAGGGAGTGACAGAGTGGCTGTTGATCAGTTGTTGATCTCAACATGAAAACCTGTGGCTTATGTCCAAGAGTGGTCTATATGTGGATAACATTGACTTTTCAAATGTAGCTGCTGTGGCTTGTATACAGGTGTACTTAATAGTCCAGAGCGTACTGTACTTTGAAACATTTGTATAAACTCACAGTCAGCTGCATGATAACAATGCAACACGTATCTGTTTCTGTTACGCTGACTTTTACAAACACCCATTGACTCTGTTGTTGGCTGAGATCCCCATGTTGCTAGTACTCTAGAGGATTCTAAGAGGAACCCATGCAGCTATTCTTCCTCCCAGCCTGGAGCTATGACACGCAGATAGAAAAGGAGAAAAGGAATGTAAGATATTACCAATGACTGGAGCGTTGTTCCTGAAGAGCGCAGAGAAACTTGTGGAAACCAGAGCAGTGAAGCAGAGCAGCAGGAGCAGCATCTTGTGTCTTGAAGCGGTGGCTTTTGGCTCTGGTTTCAGCGGATGCGTTTATGAACAAACACAGAGACCCCCACCCCTTGCAATGGACTGACGCAGGGAAGAGTCCACGGGGACAGTGCATGTACTATTGAGACTCACTGTTCGGGAAAAACAATAGCCCAGAGCTATTTGTGATGAGCGGCAGTTTGAAGGCAGAGAAAAAACGTTGGCGGAATCTATTGGATTCATCTATGCCACAAGTCCTATGTTTCTTTTCCTTTATTGATACTTGATACAATACTTTATTGATCCCCTGTAGGAGAAATTCAGGTGTCCAGCAGCAGAATCCAGGGGTGAAGGAACAAAGGATCCCTTGAAGCGCTCCGTTCGGCAGCGCAGTGATAGGAGCCTGTTGCTACGGTTACTCGTCTCAGCGACCATAGTGTCATGCAGAGGGTGTCTTACCCATGATGCCCTGCAGTAGAGCCCTCACCCCATCACAGAGACACATTTTCTGATCAGGCTGTCGAGCCGGTTACTGTCTCTCGAAGGTCAGACTGTGTGGATGTACTAGTAAGTAAGTAATGTTTATTATATAGCACATTTTACAGACCAAGATCACCCAAAGCAATTTACAATATTCAGATAATGTTCCAATCATCTCACACACAGTGATGAGGGAAGCGAGTCGCCGAACACACTAGTGCCTCAAAGCCCCCATAAAACACCATCCATTCACTCTCTCATCTACATTCATACTGTACCTATTGTGCATGTTTTTCATGAGTAGAAAAAACATTTAAAACCTGATTTTATTTAGTGTTTGGGTCTGTAAATGGTCTGCATGTGCTTTTGGTTGTATGGGTGAAAGGTTTTGGAGCCAAATAAGCATCCAACCTTTTTCCATCTATGTGTATCTGTTTTTTAAAAATAACAATCTGGATCAATGTGTACACAAGTTTGAAATAACTATAGTTGAATGATTTTATCAAAGTTGACAGTAAGTAATTCACAGACCGCAATCACAAAGTGCTATACAATTGTGGGCATTTGTTTACTTTTCGTGGTAATGTAGCTCTGACCCATCGACTGTATACAAATAGACAATGCTAACTCGCTAGCTCAATGAAGGCCAATCAGAAAGCGCTCATGGATGAAGTTTTTCCCCAACTCTCTTAAAGCCTGGTTCATACAGCAGGATAATTGGGCCGATTTTGGACCCGATTTACCTCTTCGACAATCTTTAAGAACGCTCCAAATATCGTAACAAAAAATCGGATGGATTTTCCGTGTGTGGTGTGTTAAGACTGTGCTCGTCGCTCTGAAGGACTTTGGGACTGCTCCGACCTCAAAATCGGGGATATCCAACATGTTGGATTGTTTTGGCCCGATTTCTCTTCGTGTGTGGTGTCCCTCGGGAACAGACGAGCGCGTTGCCATGACTGCGGCGTGTAGCCAATCAGAAGAGAAGACGAGGCGGCGAGGAAACACCGTAAAAAAACAACTCACCTCCAGATCACGATGAAGCGAGTACAGTCCATGCTCGTGTTGTCTACACTTCTTTGACCACCGCCTTTTCTCAGATAAAAACAAACTGGAAACTTTGTCCGCCATGATTGTTTACTCTGAAGTCACGCTTGATCTCGCGAGATTTTGTGAGATTTCTGTCTGATCTGGAAATGCTCGGGGATGAAATCGGTCCGTGTGTGATGTCTGTGGTTTGCGTAATTTTGCCGAGTGGCTGCGCACCACACACTGTACGACCAAAGAAGTTAGACCCATGAATTTTTATCTCCGTGTGTGAGGTCTCACACGGAGAAAAAAATCGGTAGACAATTTTAAAATCGTCTCAGGCTTAGCTCTTATTGACTTACACAGAAAATGACACTGCACTTTTATATTTCAATAGTCAGGTAAACATTTAGTACATTACATGTTTTGTGTGTCTTGAGAGATGCTTCAGTAAGCGGTAAACACAGCAATAACATTCAATCAGCAGCTGTGTTCTGTTCTGTGGGGTTTTGCATCATCTGCTTTGATTCCTGCACGAAAACCAACAACATTCCCCTGAGTGAGTCACCGCGGAAACATCTGAACTCTGCAATGGAACGATTTCACACTTATCGCACAATTACAAGTGGACAACACGCACACACCAAACAGAGACCAAACGATGACATCACATTTTATTGTTATGGCCAGACTTTGGAGATTCTTAATGGACATAAACGTTCCCCGCCCACTTTTTTTGGTGGTTTTGCAAAGCCATATCTTGCTTGTTTTCTATTTTCAATTGTTAACTTCCTTCAGTCGATCTGTTGAGAGTAAGTAAGTAATCTTTATTTATATAGCACATTTTTACAGACCAACGCTTTACAATGTTCAGAGTTTATCATAGTAAATAATGATATAATAATAATAGTCATAAATAGTTTTTCATTCTCTCCACACGTATTGATGACTGAAGCGAGACGCCCTGGTCCATCAAAGCCTCTGACCAAACACCCTCCATTCACTCACTCATTACACCTGGAGGAAAACTACGCAGACACAGGGAGAACATGCAAACTCCACACAGAAAGGCCTGAAGGTGGAATTGAACACAGGACCTTCTTGCTGTGAGACAGAAGCTCTAAGCCACCGTGCAGCAATCAAAAGTTCAGGTCGTGCAAGGCTGCCCAGGAATTTACAGGAACTGGAGCATAGACTATAGATGGACAACGCTAACCAAGCTCAATGTAGACCAAAAGGGAAGTGCTCGTGGGCAACGTTTTGCTCCAACTCACTCTGGCTCCTCTTGACTTTGTAAAGTAAACAGCTCAGTAACCATTTTGGGCTTTAACAATCCCTGGTTTAGTGCTCTCTGTGATCCTGGTGCTATTATTATTATTATTATTTTTATTGATAATGTCTTTGTAAATCCAGAAATCAGTTTTCTTTGTTCTTGGGGGAACTCAAGTTTACATTAGCAACCATTTTAGCAACACATCTGTTACTGTTATGAAGCAATGTGGGAATGAATGCCCATATAAGGAAAATGGTTCAAGCTAGCTTTGGTTCTAATCAGGCTTTTTCCACATTCGCCAAACACTATGGATCAACATTTTCTGGCTTCTATGTTCTGATCGGAATTTGTGATTTCTGATTCGGCCCTTGACCAAAATGACCGCTTTTGCTTTTGGGTTAGACATTCTTTTGCTTTGATATTCTTCAACACAAAACTTGTTCTGACTCATGAGACTTGCATATTTTCAACTGCACCTACAGCGATTACACAAGCACCAAAGCACTGTTACAACACAACACGTATCTAAAATAAATAGAGCATTAATCACGCTTCATCCAGTCAAACTTGAATATAACAATACCTGAAGTCACTCACAATTTATAGATAGAATAGATCGCCAGTTCCAGTCCAAAATTCAAGCAGCCGAAAGACAAATATTACTGTTGAGGGAAAGTCATTTTGGCAGACCTCTCTCTCTCTGACTGGAACTGGACATGGCTCTTCTAAAGGTAACACAATTTTACTCCAATTCTATTCACTATTATTAGAACAGTCTCATCTGTAAAAACCCAGCTAAATAATCAAACAGCATATTTCCTTTGCTCTATAAGAGCGATCAAAAGTTTGGGACCACTTGAAAATTTGCTTCAAGAGGCAACAAGACAGAATGGGGCAGAGTAAAGAAAACATATATATAGACTTTTCAGGCCGTTCTGTGAAAATCTTTCTCAATGTGAAGGACAGTTCATGTGCCATATGCCAGATACATTTTGTTTAAAGTGGCAATATGTAAGATTTTTATGTCCAGTCAACATTAAATGGCCCTAATCTGTCAAAAGGAATTAATAAAATATGCTCTTTTCCAATACTTCTTTAACTGATAATAGTAGTTCCCCGAGATGTTTAAATTAAAAAAAATAGTTTTACAGCCCCCAAGTTTTGTTATTGTTTTCATTTCGATGTCCCGCCCTCCACCGTTTCACCAATCAGAAAGTCAGTGATCTGGGTTGCAAGAACTCACTGCGTCGAGCTAATCTCACTGGTAAAGTACCATGTGGCCGCAGAACTAAAAAAGGTGGCGGTCTAAATCCTGGTCTAAAACCAGGATTTCTATCTTTGTAAAACAGGTGTTTGTTTTAGATTTGTTGTTGACAAAACTCTTTATTCAGATATTATGGTCCCAGCTGGTTTCGTCTGCATATCTGGCAACCTGAGTCAGAGAGAGTGCAGCACCACTTTGGCCAGATTTTTACATGCCGCTCAATTAACCACATACAGTATTCTATAGTTGTATGACTTTGTGTTTTGTGACTCTGGTCTGTGAAAGGCGGTGTATAAATAAAGATTACTTACTTTTGTGTCTAGGTGGTGCTATTGCTCGTAGTGGCTGCAGAGTCCATTCATCAATCAATCAATCAATCAATCAACGTTTATTTATAGAGCGCCTTTCCTACACAAGGCAACGCAAAGCGCCTCACAACCCATATAACATCATGCATAAATCATCAAACATTAGAATTTAAGTAAACATAAAAAGACAGATTAAGAGCACAAGATATATAAAATCACACAAGTAGTTAAAAACCGTAAAAAATTAAAATCACACAAGGGATTACAATCATAAATAATCATAAATAATCATAGCGCATTAAAAAGATTAAAGATAAAAACAAATGTAAAATCATTCACTTGTATGCACAGCTAAAAAGAACTGTTTTCAGTTCAGTTTTAAAAACTGCTAGAGTAGACGCCTGTCTCACACTCTCGGGAAGACGGTTCCAGACTCTAGCTGCATGAATCTGAAACGCAGCCTCCCCATGTCTAGTTCCGACTCTTGGCACTAACAGAAGTCCAGTCCCTGTGCTCCTCAGAGCCCGAGTTGGTTCATATGCCACCAACATGTCGCGGATGTACCCTGGTGCGAGGCCATGGAGAGACTTGTACACAAGTAAAGCTACTTTAAAATCTATTCTCTGAGCCACAGGAAGCCAGTGCAGAGACCTGAGGACCGGAC